CAGAGATGACCTTGGTACACGTGATGATGAAGCGTTTGCAGATACGCTTTCTTAAGTTTAAATTACTCAGAAAATCAAAGACTCTGGACGAGTCTGTGTTAGCGGTTGCAATTCAGCTATTCCTGTCTGGCTTGGCAGGAATAGCGTGAGAGGGGGGGGGGGGGGGGGGCAGGAGCTGCAGCCCCGTTCCCCGTTGGCGTGTGTTCACAAGTCCTCCCTCTTTGGTTGTCAAACACGAACTGAATCATGAACTGAAACTTACCAAAAGCCTTTCTCTTCTCAAAGCAAAACTTGTGCGTCAGAGCAAATGTGTTTTGGAGTTTACTGTGAGAGAGTGTGTGTGTGTGTGTGAAGGTCATTATAACATCTTCAAACATTATTTAATTAAGCATTGATTCATTAGTTATTATGATTACCCAAAGCATAATAATCATTCATTTGATTAAAACACATTTATAATGAGCAAAGTGATAATAATGATTATTTAACATTTAAAATAAAGGAAAGGAAGTTCAAGACTTTGTTATGTTATGACTAGCTTTTCCATGAGAACAACATCTTCTGGCACTGCAGGTGGCAGATGTTCTGGTTTGCAGCAGACTCTTGCAGACTTCATGTCGGCAACAGGTCTTAATCTGTGGGTGAAAGTTCTGGGCGACCCAGCTTTGACCCAGCCAAGTCAAATGAAACCTTTGGCACAGAAAACCCATATTTCCTCACGTTACAACCCAGAGAAAGCCTCTGCTGTCTAATATAAACAAAGTAGCACAGCTTGACTTTGCATAGCTGCATCTGAACAAACTGCCAGACTTGTGGATGAGAGTGGAAATGTTTAGTCAGACTGCACAATACTGTGTGTGTCAAAATGCGAGCGCTTTACATTAACACTAATAAATTGCACCAAATGAGCAGTTAAGGCAGATGAATGAAAGTCTCACTAAGGAATAAAATATGGATTTCATGGTTTATTAAACAGGTCCTTCACTCACATTTTTAATACATTAGCAGTGGTCCATAGTAGGAATGAATGCCTTTTAAGTCGTAGACTGGGGGAAAAAAGCTCTGGTGCGCCTGTTTCAGCACAGAAAATTCAACAAGAGGAGAAAGTAGCTTCAGACAACCTGCTATTTGGGCATCTTGCCTCTGATTAACTAACAGCAAGTTAGCTGTAAAAAGCACCCCTGAACATAACATATTTTATATACACTGACTCTCCTTTAGCATGGAAGCTCTTCTCTACTTTTGTAGCAGCAATGTTCTTTACAGCAATCCCAGTGACTATCGGTCAATTAGAAAATAAAATTTAATATGTGGGTGTTTCAAAACTAATGTCTGAATTTCCAAAAGTTCTTTTTATTTTTTATACTAAATAAGTCCAGCTAGAGGTAGACCGATATATCGGTCGGCCGATATTTGTCCACAGTGAAGCCGATTTAAAGTCAGGCACATGCTCGGGCAGCTCAGCGATGTTGCAGAATTGAATTTGAATGTACTTTTACGTTCACTAATAACATCTGCAAATTAAATACTCTAAATTAATTTTATTTAGGTGTCTGACTTTACCACTGAGAAATGCACAAAGTTAATAAAAGTTAAATTCAGAGTTCCAAAACTGATTCAGCTTCAGGAATTTTGTGAATCTAGTGACATTTTTGCAGGAAAATAAGGTGGGAAACCTCTAGATATTGGCGGTGAAAATTGACCCATAAAAATTGGCAGTACATATCGGCTATCGGCTTACAGTGTCTCCTAAATATCGGTATATACCAATATTGATTGACCTCTGAGTCTAGTGAGACAAAAATAAGTTTCATCTCATGATTTATTACTAAATAGCTCAGCAAAATGGAGCCAGTCATTTATTTTACCCTTTATAGAGTATTATCTCAAGCTTCATATCGAATCAGTTCTAAATTCAAAATTGTGAGACTAGGATTAGTCCTTTCCTAAAACCATTCATATAGAATTCTATACATTTTCTTCACATAACCAAAGAAAAAACATTGTTATAAAGGTTTGTGATTTTCAGGCTATTGGTAGTCAAAGTCTATATTTCTGAAATTAGTCATTCAAATTGTGCTGCCATAGATTGTAAGAATGGAAAACTTTGAGAAAATGAATACAGATCATATCGTTAATCTGAATCTATTTGTGTTTGACGAGGGGTTTTTTTTTGGGGGGGGGGGGGGGGGGGGTTTAGCTTTGGCTGAAGAGGCAAAATAAAAATACTGTTATTCCATATTTAAAGAGCAAGTAATGCCTAAATCAACCCTTTTTTTTGCTGATAACCTGTATAGATGAGTGTCTAGTAGTGCTGTACACATGTGTATTTATTAATGTGGTAGTTTAGTGCAACTTACTTTAAATTTAATAATTCAGCCCAAAACTATAATTACATCTCGATCTTCAGGTTAAAAACTCTGCTCCACATTTATGTAGAATCAGCTGTGGTTGATGGCTAAGCGTCATTTTAAAAAAGCAAATGACTACGTGGCAGCCACACCCCCACCTGGATCAGCCACTCACCTGCTGACATGACACATTAGCATTCTGAGCCGCTTGCCTCCTTGAAAAAAATGTCCTCCTCCCCTTTTCGTCTAATGATCGTGGTTAACAGGAAATCCTCCAGAATGCTGCGGTAAGTCTTGTGTGAGTCTGTGCATGCATGCACGTGCGAGTGCGCATGCGCTCGTTAACAACTTGTTTTTAGATTGAGAAAGTCCAACAGTGCACGCGGGGGGTTGAGGAGGGTGCGGTCTATCACTGCCTCAGTGCCACTTTCTCGGTCCGTCAGGCGACGCCTCTTTCAGAAGCGTTTTTCTAACAGGAGGTGTGGATGAAATACGTCTCCACCCAGGCCTTGACTCTTACTTTAAACATCCCTAAGATCAGCATTGACCAACATAATCAGGATCATGATTTATTTCCATTAGCAGGCAGCCCAACAACATGGTACTTCAATTGTAGATGTGACATCAGAACCATGTGTTTCCATGGAAACGTCTCTAAATTTTCAGTCTTTGTGTTTTTATGTTTTTTTTATAACAAAACAGTGATTTATTCATCAGCCAAAGAAGTCTCCCATGGTAAAAAGACTGGGATTTAAAGAAAGAACCCCCCCCCCCCCCACACACACACACACACACACACACACACACACACCACCACCACCATCAGCCACATCCGGACTCCCTGTCTGAGTTCTCTGCAGTCTGAAAAGACTCTGTCCGTTTCACCAGCTGGTTGCACTCTGAGACAATTTCTTCATAAGCCATTCTGTCAACTCAGCAATGCTGCATGAGGGGACGTCAACGAGTCCTACCAGCCTGTTTACTGTTTGTGTTTGATCTAGTTTGAGTGAAGTCAAGGACAAAACATCCCTGTCAAATGACTGTAATCTATTGTTATAGCTGCATTACGTGTAATTACCGCATGCAGCTAATTGAGCCTTGCACACATTTAAGGTCCTGGTAAAACAGTCATGATAATTACCTAGTGGTAAACCCTCTCTGTGAGTGTGCACGGCCAATCTATCTCTGAGTGTTATTGATCAGACTTCATTAACTGGTGGCTTGCAGTATAATGACTCATATCTAATTTTTGTCTCAAGATTTCTATCTCCATCTTCATATTGAAATAGTTTTCATTTAGCTGTCACTTAAGCGCTTAGCCCCAAAATTCCAAGAAGACTTGACACTTAAAATTTCCTGACAGAGGGAGATGGGAGGAAGATAAAGGGTTGTGCTGTCTTTGTGATTTATGGATTTCATAAAGCCTAACCCCCTCTGCTGCCATCTGACACGCCGTTCTTCTCCGAACGCACCGCGCTCGCAGAACAATAAGATCACTTTGGTTCATGCCGAACCGCACACGTGTACATACCAACGTAGACACACAGCGGGGTCAGAGCTCTGGTTCTGTCAGCACAGCCTCCCACTGAGCTCAGAGTGATACCTCAGCTAGCACACTGTAAGGGGAGCCCTACAGTGCATTCGTGTGCACATCCTCGCTGACACGAGCATGCACGCTTTTCAGCCTGACAGCTTATTTGCAAACTGTGCTCTTATTCATCCTTCTGATCTCATTAAAAAATGAATTTGACCCGCAAGTTGTTCTGCAGCTCTGCTGGAACGGAGAGTCTTGTTACATGAGGAGGATGGCCCACACCATCGCAGGTCGCATCATCATCATTTGACAGGCGGCGTGTAAACGCACAGCTCCGTGTGTCAGCAGCACCGATTTGATTGCACGGCTGTAGGGACAAATGTGGCACTGTAGGACAGACGTGCACTTTGTCTGAGTCAGTATCACTGAGCATCAGCACTATCAGGTCCGGTGCTGCCAACTGTGTGTCAAGTTGCTCTTCTCCCAGTCCCAAGTCGTTTTCCTCCTGCTTTTTATGGCTTCAGCGTCATGCCAATTTTACAATCTGCACTCTTCCCACATCCTCGGGATAGATGGTAATCCCTTTCATAACAACATGTATACAAACCAGTTTGGCAGTTTCAGCAGTGTGCCTCCCTCACAGAGGAGACACGGAGGCTAATTCTATCAGTGAGTGGGTACTTATTACATCGCCCCGGGATTAAATCCTATGCCTTCATGGCTATATGGTTTTATAGGCAGGGTGTTAATTATGCCGTTGGTGATAAACTTTATCAGATAGGATTCTAGGCCAGCAATTTTATATTTATGTCACCTTGGGGAAGGTCGGAAAGTCACTGACATTTGTATCACTGAGCATCCCAGGCATTTACAGCCTCTTCGCAAACATTTTATTTTTAAAGCTGTCTGTTCTTCAGTGATAAAACGATTATTCTAATGGTTTTTCTTCCTGTTCTGGATTCCCAGACCTACAGATGCCCATTCCTTATCATCCCTGTCCTTACCCCTGCTTCTAAAAGCATCAACGGGATGACTGTTTGTGGTTGTTAAGCTTTGATCTCTTTTCTTGCTGGCATTGTCACTTTTTTCTCCTTCTTTCTTCTCACTGTTTGCAGCCCCCTTCTCCCCTCAGGGCAGTGAGACAGTTGTGAAGTTTGATTCCCAGGGGGATGGCATGGGCAGATACAACATCTTCAGCTACCAGCGTGCCGGCGAGCGTTACGGCTATGTGCCCGTCGGTGAGTGGGCAGAGAGTCTGAGTCTGAACAGCGAGCTGATTCGCTGGCCAAGAGAGGTGGCGCCGACCTCGCAGTGCAGTGACCCGTGTGAGCGCAATGAGATGAAAAAAATGCAGGCAGGTAGGAGTGTGGGTTTGAACTATTTTCTTTTGGTAAAGCAACACGACAAACTGAAGTCTGACTTTTGGGAAAAACCGAAAGTGCCGCTTAACTTTGTGTTTTCCAGGTGAGTACTGCTGCTGGATCTGCACAGCATGTGAGCCTCATGAATACCTGGCAGATGAGTTCACCTGTTCGCCATGTGCTCCTGGTCAGTGGCCCACTGAGGACCTCACATCCTGTTATGACCTTCCTGAGGACTACATCATGTGGGAAGATGCTTGGGCCATCGGTCCAATTACCATCGCCTGTGTAGGGTGGGAGCAAAGTATTTTTAAAACAATAACCTAAACTGTGATGCAGTTTTACCACCATTAAAAAAGATTGGTGTCCATTTTGCCAAAGGTTATTTTCTTTTTAAGAGGGAGTTTTTTTTTCCCCACGTTCACTTATTTTACTAAACTTGCCCAGGATGAGGGATTGGATTAGGATTCACTGTAATCTGTCGGTTTCCTGTCAGGAGTAATGTTAAAAGGTCTTTATTGCATTTGTCACCTAATGGGTCTTAACATCCCTGATTCTTGACTGCAGGTTTATGTGCACTGGCCTCGTGTTTTGGGTGTTCATCAGACATAACAACACTCCGCTGGTGAAAGCCTCAGGCAGAGAGCTCTGCTACATTCTCCTCTCTGGAGTTTTTATGTCCTATGCCATGACATTCCTCTTCCTGGCCAAACCCTCCCCTGCCATATGCGCCCTGCGACGCCTCGGCCTTGGCACGTCATTCGCTGTGTGCTACTCCGCTCTGCTCACCAAAACCAACAGAATCGCCAGAATTTTTAATGGTGTGAAAGACGGTGCGGGTGCTGTGAGACCACGCTTCATTAGCCCATTTTCTCAGGTGAGAGAGAGGAGAGTTCTGTCCATCAGTCTACATCAGGCACATGGATGGGCGGACTGACGAACAGTGGAAACGTCACGACCCTCTTTCTCTTTTCTATTCTTGTTTGTCAGGTTTTCATCTGTCTGAGTCTCATCTCCGTGCAGTTAGTGATGGTCTCAGTGTGGCTGCTGCTGGAGGTTCCTGGGACTCGTCGCTTCACGTTGCCAGAACGGCGACAGACTGTCATCCTCAAGTGTAATGTACGTGACTCCAGCATGCTGCTGTCACTGGGATATGATGTTCTCCTGGTCGTCTTGTGTACTGTGTAAGTGTCTTCAAAATTACTTCGAAGAAACCAACTTTACATTTTGTCTGTACCTTTTGTCTTATATCAGAAATATCCATCTCTTTTTTTTTTCTAGGTATGCCTTCAAGACCAGGAAGTGCCCTGAGAACTTCAACGAGGCCAAGTTTATTGGCTTCACCATGTACACCACTTGTATAATTTGGCTGGCCTTTCTTCCCATCTTCTATGTTACATCAAGTGACTACAGGGTAATTTTTATAACTTTTATCCATCTTTATCATGCATGCAGAGTTTTTATTTTAGTACATTTCTTTATTAACCTCTGGTCTGATGACGATGTGAAGAGAAGTGGCTCCTATATTTATCATTTCGACTTCAATCTTTTGCATCGGGGGATTTTTTTATAACATTAAAATGATTTGGAGTGTATTTCTGTGTAGAAGTTGTAAATAATTACTTTCATGTCCATTTTGCAAAGCTTTTGTTCAGAGAAATATTTTACATCCTACAGGATTGATCTAATATCTAGAACAAAGTGTAATAAAGTTAAAGTCCCATTATTAGTCATCACACACTGGTGAAATTCATCTCCACATTTGACCCATCTCTGAGGGGAGCGGTGAGCGGCAGCAGTGGCCGTGCTCCGGAACTATTTGGTGGTTTAACCCCCTAATTCAACCCCTTAAAGCTGAGTGTCAAAAAGGGAGGCATTGGGGGACCTGACCGGGATTTGAACCCCAACCTCCCAGTCCCAGGGCAGACACTTTACTACTAGGCCACTGAGAAGGTATTTCTGTCATTTTACAGTATCTACTCTTCAGATGTTTGTTTTAAAGAAACTGAGAAACCATCTTTTACTTATTTTTGAAAATAGTCAGTTACTCAGAGTTGAACATGATGGCTGAATGTAAAAATAGCCTTCTACCCCTATTTCCTGCATTAGCTTCTGACAGAAAATAATTGTTCAGTTCAGAAAAACCTAACAGATCTGCATCACACTGTCATTTAACTCTTCATGGACTCACTTGTTGGTTTAGCGTCCAGGAAAGAGCAGAACGTCTTGACTAGTAGAAGCTAACTGTTAACATTAGCAACTCTACCGCACAGCAGAACTCCTTCAGGCTTGTGTTATTTGTGTAGATAAAACATCAGTGTTGCAAAGCAAACAGTCAGTGGTAGAGTTGGCTTTGCTGTGAGCCAATCAGAGGCGACATGTCCAAATATCAGGAAATAAGACTCTAGATCCTGCCGTGTGCTGCCACTTTCTTTTCTGGCTGATTTCTACATCCTCAAACAGGAGCTTCTGAACTTTGTTTCCCACAGAATGATGTACAAGGCATTCATTCTTACTAAGGATCACTGCACATGTATTAAAAATATGAGTTTGATCTATAGGTTCTTATACTTTTTGCAAACTTTTTAGTTAGTAAAAAAACAACAAATCATTGCAACACAATTCACCACAAACAGAGAATCAGCACAAATGAGGTCTAGTACCACACAAAGTACTGCTTTTCGAAAACCAGCAATATCCAAAGTGATCCAGCATAGGCGTGCCATCCCACAATGTCAACATAACTGCAACAAAGAATCACCACACGGACTTCAACAAGCTTTTATTGAGTAACAATAGCAAGCTCTAAGCTCATCCCTAAAGGACAAGAAGGGCTTACCACAAGCCACACATACAAGCTACAGAAAATTATAAAACGCTTCAGTTTACATGATAGTATTTGCAACATGAACTACAAAAATCCAAGTTTACTCTCCTTTAACAGCTAAAAACAACACAGATGAGCTCACAAATTATTTATGAGCCACAACATAAAACAGAAACTGAATGCTTGCTGAGCAGTTTAGGAATTGCATTATTAAAATAGCCTTTCATGGTAAAAAAAAAAATATATAAATATATATATATATTCAAACCAACAGAACCAAGCCCTTGTGGTGATCTGCCCCAAGTCTGATAAACACAATAAAAATCATGCAGACTGTTGCATAACCAAAAAGTGGACAGTGGGGATGCAGAGGGGCACAACAGGAGTTCGTTCAATGTTAGTTTTAAACCTGCTGCTGGTGATATTTAACACTGTATTCAATGTAAACAACTATGTGATGTGAAATTGATGTTGGTAAAATTGTACATAATTAAGTTCAGCTCAGCCTAGCCACTGGATCATCAATCCAGTATAGGACATAATTATTATCCTCAAACAGATGCCATACAGACATCATATGGGCCAGGAAGATAACCACAATGGGTAAGAAAGTACCAAAGATAGCCCAAACAAGCTCTTTGACTTTAGATTTTAAAGTTGCTTCAAAGCTAAAGTAACAAATTTACTGAATTGCAGCAGTATTTTCCCTCAAGGCTGATAAAAAAAACACACAGGCAACAAAAAAGTGAATAAGCAAGTGCAGTGGCAACTTCTACTTGTTTCTAATCCTATTGGCTGATGTCCCAACTCTGCAGTTCTGGGGTGACAAACAGGCTCAGTCAAAGTGCTGACACATGTCCAGATTTAACAGCAAAGGGGAATAAGCATTCTCCTTTTCCGAACAAATCTTCAGTGTGCGCCTTCACACTTCAGGCACGTGTGTTTACAGACAGAAGAAAGAAACCTTGTTCTTTATTCTTTTCTTTTCTTTTTTTCTTTTCTTTTCTTTTCTTTTCTTTTCTTTTCTTTTCTATGAAGATTAGCCTGGTACAGTAGTAACATCCCCCCTACATGCACACCCACCCACTCACATAAATATTCACATAAACAGAAGGTCTTGAATTGTTGATTACTGATGAGTGTCCTCAGCTCTGCAGTGATTTCACTCTTAGCTGCTGCAGGACTTAAAGCCATGATTAGGGGTGGCCAGAATCAAACATGCAGCAGACACCTCTGCAGACCTGTGAGCAAGCAAGGCAGCATTTAGCATTGATTATACAACGAATCTCACAGAATGAAGTTAAAGCAGTGACAGACTGTTAAGTTTGGCTTCTGCGGTCTTGTTGATTGAGTTGATTGATCAGTTCTGTAACTGTTATCCTCAGGACGGTTAAAAGGTAAAGAGGTCTGAAAACAAGAAGCTCACTTTAATTGGTTTGAATGCACAGACGGGGCTCAGACGTCTTTTGAAAGCATTTTTGGAATTTCCTTTTATCAGAAAAAGAAAAACCACAAAAAGGATCTCATTAAGTGGTTGACGTTGTTTGGATACTGTGCAATTAATAATATCGGAGAGTACTACTCCATCAGTTTGGCTACTAGTGCCTTTCTTCTGGTCATTTCTCTGCAGGTTCAGACCACCACCATGTGCATCTCCGTCAGTCTGAGCGGTTTTGTGGTCCTAGGCTGCATGTTTGCTCCCAAGGTCCACATCATCATGTTTCAGCCCCAGAAGAACGTGACAAGCCACAGACTAAACCTCAACCGCTTCAGTGTGAGTGGGGCTGCCACCACATGTGCATCTCACGGTAGGCCACATGAGATTCAAATGTTTTTCTATTGATGTTGATGACATGGCAGTTTTCCTCGAACAGATGGATGTGTTTGGTATTTACACACTCAATTTTTTCTATACTCACTTAAACATGCTCAGGGTCGTGGGCAGGGGCTGATGCCCATCCCGGCTGTCATTGAGTGAGAGGAATTGACAGGTCATCCCTTCATGACAGGGCACACTCTCACACCTAAGGTCAATTTAGAATCATCAATCAACCTAACATGGATGTATTTTGGACCGCAGATGGAATCTAAACTAAAAACTCACACATGAACGAGGAGAAGATGCAAGCATTATACTGAAAGGCACCATTTAAGACTCAGATCTAAGTTGTTTTTGCAACACAACACTGCATGTGTTGTTTGGTATTCAGTATAAACCAAATATATTAGTGCTGTGTCTTGCATTGAGTTTATACTCAGATGTATTACAAAATATTACATAATCGTAGACCTCCAGCTTGACAAGTGAATAAAGTTTAAAGTTTAAACGTCTCTTTTTATTTGTGATATCAACTAAACATTTGAGCCGTCTGAAAAACGAGGAAAAAGTGAAACTGAGACATTCATAAGTAAATATGTAATAAGCTAAAATGTGTTTAGTCCATTTGGGATGGAGAAACAAAGAAACATTTTTAGGTGAACAAATAAAATGTTTAAATCCTAAAAAGCATGCACAGTGCAACTTTTAGAAAATTACATACGATATGTGGTGTTTTGTTCCTCGTGAGTTCTCCAGGTAAATTCCTCAGATTGCAAACATAAGACGTGATGTCTCTCCACTGGTTACCCGTTAACTTTAGAGTTCATTTTAGACTCCTGGTTATAACGTTCATGCTCTACATGGTCAAGCTCATCCCTACATTACTGAACTGTTAAAGCCTTCTGCTCCAACCCGAATCCTCAGGTCCACACACCAGAACCTTCTAGAAGTTCCAAAGACCAAGGAGCAGTCACCTCGACAAAAGTCGAGGTGATTGCTCTGGATTTGTCATCCACAAATAAAATCCTATTAAATTCAACTTTTCCTTATTGTGAGATTATTGTGGGGCTGTCCAGTAATCTGAAGGTTTGGGGTTTGATTCTGGCTCCTGGCAGGGAATGCTGCTGTTGTGTCCTTGGGTAAGACCATGGGTAAGACACTTAACACCCCCATGCCTTCTGGGGGTCAGAGGGACTGGTGGCGCCTGTGCTTGGAAAGCCTTGCCTCTGTCAGTGCGCCCCAGGGCAGCTGTGGCTTCATTGTAGCTCATCCCCACCATTGTGTGAACGTGTGTGTGAATGGATGAATGATGCACTGTAAAGCACTTTGGAGTCCTCTGACTCTGGAAGGCGCCATACAAGTGTGGGTCATTTATCATCTATGTTACAAACAAATTAAAATTAAAATGTGAATGTTCTCAAATGGGTCTGCAGCAGAACATAATTTACTCAATTGCATAAAACGTGCCACAGAGTTATGTAAGTAAATAATTTTAGGATCGCCATTAAATGTGTCAACGTGCAAAGATGATAATTTTATGCACAGTCTCAGAGTATACCATAAATACACACATGTGCACGCAGGCTGAACTATTTTTTCCCACTTTTTGCTTCCTGGTGGATGGCAATAAAAATATATATATAAACCTATGACAGCAGGTTGGTTCTAGAAGCTTGGATTCAGGGCTTAGCGCATTCAGATGAAGATGTGTGACGGCTGTGTTTGGGGTGCTGCCAGGGCTGTTTAGGGGTATTTCTGCATCTTGTTGGAACATCAGCATCATAAATCAGCTCCAAGGTGTCCCCAGTCTAAATCACTGGATACAACAGCTTCATAGCAACATAAAATTCCCACGGCGCATCCTTTGAAATGCATCTTGAGGAATGTAAACAGCAGCAACAACAAGCACGCTGGTGAAATATGCGCCAAAAATACCATTTAATGTTTGTTAGCTGCAGGGGGGTCATGTTGTTATTATTGGTTTTATTTATTTATTTTTATTGCTCAAGATTTTATGTAATTATCTTATCTTCTTTAACCGTTCGTGTTCCTGGTATGTTTACAGCATCTGTCAGCTCCCACTTTGTCCCGACGGTGTGCAACGGAAGGGAAGTCGTTGACTCCACCACTTCCTCTCTGTGACGACCCCCAGTCCCCGCACCAAACCCGTTCCTGCGACTGTTAGCTACGTCAGCAACACTACCCCCTCCAGCTTTGGTTTCCCTACTTCACACACACACACACATGCACACACACACACACTCTAACAATAAAATGTGTATACAAAAACAAGCAAACACCCTCCTCGTGGACTAGAACTGTATTGTTTTACAAAATGTAGAAAGTGTGTAACTATAATTAAATTATTTTCTAGGGATGTATATACATGGAATTGACATTGTTGTATGTAGAGTAACAAAAGAACAAAAAAAGTTTTTAGGAGGAAATTTTTGCAGCCTTTGTTTTGGCAGCTTTGTCTTGATGTAAATAGAAAGAAGCTGAAACAGAGGGGGGAGTGGGTGGAGGTGGGGGTGGGGTGGACCATGTCCCTCAGTCTGGATGCACATTTGTGGCTCTGCTTGCCCCCACTGCAATACCTGCGGACTTTTGGATTCTCATGCTTTTTTGTAGTTCTCATCTTGTATGCATTTCTAATGTTTATCTGTACATTTGTATATGATACTACTGATGGTTCAAACAGCACAATGTTAAAATTCTTTGTAACACTAAAATGAATGTGGACTAAAGCATAAACTGGATCAACCGGAATGACGGGAAGAAAGGAAAACTATAAGGAAGAAAGATCGATCACTCATTCATGAATTTCAGTTGGAGAATTGATCTTATTGCATCTTAATAGATGTGTGTTGTGTTTTATAACAACCTTTAAAGGCTTTTTTTTTATTACAGATGCTCTTTTATTCTAATTCTAATCATGGAATCCTTTTATCTAAATGGCCATGACTCCAGATGTCTGTTCAGCAGAGCAGCACTATTTCCCTCCCACCCCTAAACTGCTCTGTTTGAAAGACTGCTGTGATGCACTAATAATAAATAATAGCTGGACAGAAAGAACAAGAACAAATCAGTTTCTCACCCGGTAATTATGAACTCCATGCACTCAAAGTGACACTGATGGAGGAAAGCAATCTGTTCTGCTGAACACATGTTGATTTTTTTCCAACTGCAGGGGAGTGGTAGCTTAGAATGAATGCCCCTTAGGTACCATACGTGGTGATATTCAAATATGGCTATGTGCCTTAATGTATGTTTGATAAGTTCATGTTAGAGATACGTTTTACATTAACCAGCTTGAAGCTTTTTTTTTTTGGTGAATGTAAAAGTGGCCTCGTTGGGAACGCGTTTGCTTCAGGAAAAGAGTTTTATTTCATAAGAAACCTTGTTTACCTAAACGTTTGGAGCAGTGACTCTGATGTCCATCCATCTCCCAGATTTGACACGTTTTTTACACCATAGCAAATCCAGGAAATGAAAGGAAGCACATATATCAGCAGGAGGAAGTCAGCGACTTGTTTGAGTGTGCAGTTTGCATCCCTGTATTAAATGTGTTGATGTTGGGAAGCACAGTGGAGCAGCTGGCTTTGGCGGTCCCAGAGAAGCTTGGGAGAGAAAGCAGAGTGCACACAGTCAGCTGCTGGCAGATCCCAGTTAAGAAAACATGTTGGAGTATAGAACGTTTATGCATAATATACATAAGAACATCCATACATATGAAGCTGTGGCTAGCGACATTCCAGACTCAGTCGGATGTGATTCTTGAGACGGTGAAGTAGCCGAAAACAGTGAACTAATTTAACCAATTTTTACTTTACATGAGTTAGATCTCATGTAACTGTTGTTGAAAATAGGATGGTAGTGATTGATTACTAAACTAAATGTTTACATATAACATGCTGTCTAAAATAAAGTGTGACTGTTATATTGATGTTTTCATACAAAATCAGTGACCAGAATCACGTTGTTTGCTGGCAGTTTTAAATCTAGGAGTTGGTATTAAGATTCCTGAAGAGTGTGTGAGCGTCTTTTGACTGGCCGACACGTTTGCACACAGCTCTAACGCAACAGCCTCCTGCGATTATTACACTGAACGACTGATTCAAAGAGTTTCCGAGGATGCATCCGAGATGAGCCGACCTACATTGGGGTGTGCACATTGGGTGCCGGCAGCAGCAGGCGATAGAGCGATGATGGGATGCTGCTGCTGGATTACATAAAGCACTCCCACAGCCCAGAAGTCACAGCACCTCCATGGAAGTATCTCAGAGATTCACAGTCTTTGTTAGGAGAAGGCTTAGCCATTCACTCAGTGGTCCTGCTCCCACAAGATACACCCTGCGTGGCAGGTTGCTATGGACAACCACCATCCGCTGCTGGAATTTCTATTTGTCTGCATGGCGAGAGTAGAGAGTGGAAGGAGGGGTGAGGAGCGGCAGAGAAAAGAGGAACAGAGAGAGAGGAAGAACTGGTTGATGGTTCTGATCCTAATTGGCAGTGGGTGATGAGATTTGGCACCACGAGGCCCTGTACTCGCAGCTTTTTAATGGCCACACAAAACGAAGCACTTAACCCGCATTCTCTGTTCATTTAGTCCGGAGACTAGTCCGAGACAACAGTCTCACACTCTTCTCTGACCCCTCTCTCTTGCTATCCGCCTCACCCTTTAACCTTTCCCTCACCACCTTTGTGCGCCTCATCTCCACTCTGTGTGTGAAACTTGTGACAGAGTCGGTCTCAGCCAGGACCACCTAAGCCAGCTCAACAGACTGGTAGCTCACTCTTGAACTGAAGCACTTGGAACCGGGGTGCCCGCTTCAGCACATGCCATCAAAGCTGCCTCGGGGGTTCGAAAAGCGATGAAAGGGATGTCAGACAAAGGATTTGGAGACTGAATGGGAACATTTAATTGGAAAGTCAGATGTGAAGAAATTAGATCACTTTAATAGTCATTACCTTTCTAAATCTATCAGCTGATACCCAATAACTTCATCTGGAATCTTCTTTAATTGCTTTTCCTCATGAATATCCATTTCAAGCGTCCATCCACTTTGTTCCTCTATTCAGGCTGTGCCAACTGTCATGTGTTTTACAAAGATCTCTGTGCTGTAGCCCCTTCTGTAAAACAGAATGTGTCCTTGGCCTCTGGGCTTTGAGACGAGGAAAGATCTCTGCAGATAAAACTGAAGCAGAGGTTGATGTGAACTCTGAAACTGGCCAGTCACAAAGAAGCAATAGCTACCGTGTTTATGAAATGTGCAATAACGAGGCTGTGACAACATCATAATAAAGACCATGAAGCAAGCAGCTGTGGTTGTCTGCTCATCCTTCTGTCTGCTGTGTGCAGGAGAGAAAAACGTTGCTGCAGTGGGTCTGAGTGCTGGATCTGGAAAAGGAAAAACTAAAGTTTAGACAGACAAGCCTCTTCAGCTAACGCCATCACTCTCAGACACACACACACAGGCTCTATTCAGTGTGTGCTGGCAAAGGTTTAAAGATGGCTCTAACACTCTGTCTCATCTGTTCACTAAGCGATGGCACTCGAATTAAACAATCTACTGAAGAGCTTCCTGCTTCGGGACAAGGCATGCCTGAGTCAAATCTGTTGTAGGGGGAAAAAGTAGGAATATTATATTTTTAAACAATGTGATGGAAGGAAAAACTAACATGCAAAAAATGAAGGATAGAGATTAATTAAGAGGTTAATTACCAGAATTTCATGCAGGAAGGGTCTTAAAGAAACAAATGATTGAAAACGAGCATTAAAATGTCAGAACAAATCCACGTAGAAAGTGTCAAAACGTAATATTTGTCAGTGTTTATTTTAAATATTTTATGTTACATCACATTTTTATAGATCAGAAAATGACAACAGGATGAGTTTGCACCTTTGCTATGATTGCCCCCTGGTGGATGACTCGAGTTATTGTAATAGAAAATGCCACTTCATCAGCCTGCTTCAGAAATATCTGTGAACGACCTTTTAGATATTTGTGGAGATTTTTATTAAAAATAGTTTCACTTTTAGTGATCATTTATTTGATCAAAAATGTGTATGAATGCTACTATTTCCAAATAGGCAGAATTAAAATCCACTTAAAGAAAAGCTCAGGTCTCAGGGAATAATTGGGCCTTGAGAAGTGTGAGGTGTAAGAGATCGTTAAATAATAATAAACATTTATAAAAGAGGAAACTCACATTTTACTGTGTCTTATTTACTTGACTTTAAACAGTTTTATGAGCAAAGTCATGTTCTGGAGTAAATGTTTCAGTATAAAACAACTCAAAACTGGAATTTGCAGGATTAAAAAATAAAAGAAAAACTCATATTGTTATCAAAATGCAAGCTCAAGTGGCCAATCATAGAAAAAAATAAACATTTAACTTTTTATCTGAGCTTCAATTATACAGCATCCAGTCAATAAATATTCAAACTAAATATTCCATTTAAATTATGAATGTTTTCATGTTGTTTTGGTTTGTTTTTTGTTCCCTTGTTTTCAGAAACCAATTTTTTTTTTCATTAAAATTCCCCTTGCAGGTTGTTCTCATGATGGATTATCTTGTCCAGCGTGTCTTGCTACAGGAAAGCTAAAGACGTTTAAATCAATGAGAGATTGATCAGTTCATTCTGGACAAATTATTCACCAGCTGAATGGATGAGATTAAAAACACAGACACGATTTGTCTGAAAGTCTTCTCAGCGGCAAGTTTTAAAAAGGTTTACTTGACAGCTTAATCACACTTGGTCCATTCATACAGAAATACGTCATTTATTAGAAGCATCACCTCAACAGCTAAATATGTCCTCTTCATTCTGAGTTCATCAGCAGACCTCATTAGAACATCATAGCAAAAAAGGAAATATATTATTATAACAGGCCTGAACCAACAGGATCTGGAAACACGCTGACCAGGGAGATCCTGATGTCAGGACTCCACTACTTTCTAAGCAACATCCCATAATATACAGAGTGAAATAAATAGAAACAGAACAAGAACTCAAATAGGTCCTTGTCTCACCCTGAGCTTTTCTAACAAGCGATTCTCTCTCTCTCTCTCTCTCACTCACTCTCTCTCACATTCACACACACACATGAATACATATGCATGCACACGCACACACACACACACACACACATTCATGTGCACGTATGTAGACATACGTGCACATAAATGTAGATGTGCACACACACATGCGTGCACAAACATGCACACACACCTGCTTCACAGTACTATGGCTCTATTGTACCAAGCTTTAAGGCCACCAACAAATGTGACTTCTTCAGGAAAAAAGCTGCTGAAGATGCATGTTTTTTCAGTGTATTGATGGTGTTCCAGGTACCAAAGCTCATAATAGGGACTGTTGGCTTTTTTTTTTGGGGGGGGGGGGGGGGTCTTTAGGCTCCATTGTCTCCCCTCCTTGAGGTTCACTTTCCCACAGCTTTAGCTCCACACCAGTTCTTTTGATTGAGAGGAGTTCAGCTGCATGTTTTCATACTTCTCTCCATTCCCCTAAAAGCAAAAGCAAAAGCTGATAAAAAGTTTTTATTACATGAGAATTCTGTTAGTTATGGTGAAACTGACCCTCACCTTGGATGCTATGGCTTTGAGTTTCCTAAACAGTGAAGGCTTGGAGTACACAACATCATCGTCCATCTCTCCCTCGTTCTCTCCCTCCATGACGGCACAGCTGTCAGCTGCTGGCATTTCACACTCCTTATTAGCAGACATGACCAATCGAGAGTATTTGTACTCCAACCTTAGAGAGAAACAAGCAAAAGAATCAATAGAGGAAGAGGAAAAATGGCCACCTAAAGGATAAAAACTGATGAGGAAAATATACAAGAAGAGGGAATTTGATCAGATGAGTTAAGAGTTAAAGATCAGAAAAGAGGGGAATGGGAAGAACGAAGAGAATCAGATGAAAGGAGAAAAGAAACAGGAGGAAGAATATAGGCACTAATGAAATTGGAGGAAAATTAAGGATAAGAATGAAAATTTAAGAAAATAGGTAATAAAGTAAGGAGAATGGAGGAAAAACCGAGAAAGAAAAAGAAATAGGGAAAGAAAACCGGAAAAAAGGAAACAAACCAAAGAAAAGAAATAAATTTTTAAGCTGGAGGTGAAGAGAGGTTAAATGAGAGACAAGTACCGTTTATTCTTCTTCCAAAAGTAGCAGGTGAGGGAGATGAGCAGCACTGCAGTGAAAGTTCCTATCCCTGCACCGAACCGAATCCAGTACTCCATTCCCTCACATGGCAGAGTTTTCTTCTCTGGCAAGGCTACACCCCCTATACACTGCTTGGGCTCGGTCCACACATACAGCATGTCCTAAAGATGAACACAACCAGAAAGACTAATAGGAGACAAACGCTGATTAGCGTTCGGGAGGATTTCATAGTTTGTGTTCCACTTCAGCAGAGAGCATGTCAAGCAAGAACAAGGTAAATTCAGAGCATTTACAGCCTCCAACTGAATCTAAAACATGTTTTTTATAACGTTCCAACAAAAACATTCTCATACTCAAACACACACACACACACACACACCTGGTGCCCTCCTTTGCAGACTCCTTCTATCAGATGGTAATCTCTCTCTGTGCATATAGGACAAGCTCCTGAGCTCTCCCATAAGAAATGAAAGGTGCAGCCATCACATGTTCCTTCAGAGCACAGACTGAAAGAGCCAAAAGCAGAAACATTTTAAACTTTATACCTCCTAGAATTTATCAAAGATGCAGGTATGTTAAAAATGGCCACAGGCACCAAGAGTGATACCTGGGAACCAAGAGCTGCCCATTTGCACTCTTATCCGGATTACAGCGGAGTGTCACCACCGCGCTCCGGCCTGACTCACAAGAGGAAGTTGCCTCCAAAGATCTTGCAAATGAAAAAAGTAAAACACCTATAGCAAAAGTTTATTAATGATTTTATTATTTATAAATGCCTTAAGTGGCAAAAATACCTGTAGAAGAAGTTGATATCAGGAACCTTCTTAGAAGTTTGAGGAAACAGTTCAGGGCTTGCCTTTATTCCTGCGAGGCTATCATCTACAGTTGCACCTGGAATCAAATAAATAATAAAATGTGCCATATGTGTGTTACCAAGTGCACGCTCCTCCCTCTAAGGTCAACATAACCCCAAAGGAAGGTATTAAACTAGTCACTATATCCTGTATCTACTCACCCAGAAACGTGTCAGCCAGGTTAATGGACTGAGATGACAGGGCGGTGTGGAATCCTCGTCCACTTGCTGGGATTATCGTTGACTGACAGATGAAACTCTTGACGGCACTGGGCCCTTCGTCGTTCTCTCTCCCGGAGTTAGAGACCGACAGGTCTGTAACGTTGTCTGTGCACATTGCCAACCGACCCTATAGAAAACAAAGCAAAGGTACTCCATTTGGTGAAAAAGACAACAAAAAAAGAAGCAGCAGTATTTCCCATGCGTGTTTATATCACTGCACACCTGTTCACCACACAGACTGATATTGAACACGTGGAAATACTTGGTTCCTTTGGACGTGAACTTTGGACTGTTCATGAGGGACACCGCTGATTCGAGGAGGCTGAAGTTGAAAGTTAGAGTGACGTTTCCATCTGTGTGGGTGAACTGACAGTCACTGTAACACTGCCTGTGGTCCTGAACGACACAAATACAAAACATGTTTCCCTGCACGACATCTCAAAACCAGAATTAGCTAGATTCCATTTTTGCCTCAAAAAAAACAAACCTTGTCGCTCTTGCTGGACGGACCACAAGGTTGACAGGCATCAGGTCCCGCTGCGGAGTGAGGAGCAAGGTAAGTGTTGGGTGGACACTCAACACACTTGCTGGAGTGCGTGTCTATGTAATGGCCAGGCGGGCACGGTACACAAGCTGAGCTGGAGGGCAGGGTGCTGAGGGCACAAGCCTGACAGCCGGAGGACACGCCGTCAAGCGCGTTGGTCACTGTGATGGAGTAGATCTTTGCCACATCGTTGACGTACCGACGTACCTGAAGAGGCAAGACACTGAGATTTGTGTATCTTTTCTTATAAAAGGATTAAACACTACTGATATAAAACAAAGCTGTAAGCTCTGTTGGATTTTTCACATTTCAGGAAAAAAGGTGATTTATAGAGCAGATTTGCAGAAAAACCATGTCTTGCTCATTAACTCATTCATTTTTAAATCCAACCGTTCACTGCCAAATTGCAATTTTTTACTGGGCGGGCGTCGGAACGAGCCCCCACACCGTGAGAACAAACATCCCAGCTCTAAAGCCGATCTTCATGCGCATACGTGACAGGTCACATGATCAGGAAGCAGAAAATCCGTGTGTTAGATCGTTTTGGGTCACTGCTGTAAAAATAATAAGTCAGGCGCGAACCGGAAAAGCTTCTGCCGATCACAATTTGACAACGGATTAGGAAAGAACGGATAACGCTCGAAACAGGGCGGATTCTTCCTGATGTAAGAGGTGAGCCTACTCTTTGTTTTTGGTTGTTTTGGTTGTTTTGGTTGTTTTGGCGTTGACATCATCCTAGCGCGCAACATTCTGTGACTCTTAAAAAACAGTAAAAACACTGAAAAACGCTGGCAGCAAAGGGCTTTTCTGATCAGGAAACGTCTGGCAGTGAATGGGTTAATATAATGAGTTTAACATGCAGGCTTAACGTGAAAATGATCTTCTACCCCTTTTTCCTGCATTAGCTTCTGATAGAAAATAGATGGAAATATGCTTGTTTCAGAAAAGCCTGACAGATCCACTGTGACATTACATTCATGAACTCATCCATCTTGACTCACCACGGGGAAGGCTGTTATTGGTTTAGCAGCCAGGAAACAGCAGAGAACGCCTCGACTAGTAGAAGCTAACCGTTAGCATTAGCAACTCCACCACACGGTAGAACTCCTTCAGGCTTGTCACTTGTGTTATTTGTGAAGATAAAGCATCAATGTTGCAGAGCAAATGGTGTCAGTGGTAGTGTCACGTTGCGGTTAACCAATCAGGGGCAAGATGCCCAAATATCAGGAAATAGTTGTTTTTCCCCCAGAAAATCCCTTACAAGGCATTCGTTCTTACTAAAGACCACTACAAATGTATGAGTAAAAGTTGACCTTTAAATAAGTCAAGCTTTACGATATTCACAAGCTTAAGTAACACTGTAAAAAATAAAATTCAATAAACATATCGAAAATTAAGAACATTGAGTCAAATGGACATTCATCCATGATTCGTGAACACCCCTGATGAGAAAATGCATAAAGGTCCATGTGATTGCATTTGTACTTACAGCTGAAGGCTGATTGGTCCTTTGGAAAGTCCACGTGTAGGAAACAGACGCATTTTTCGTCATGACGTGTGTGTAGGTCTGCCGTTTGTTTGTTTTCTCCCATGACTGCACCACGGTGGTACTCGTTCTATTGATATCCTAAAACATACATTCAGCAAATGGCTTCTCCGAAAACACCTGCATAGTGAAAACAAACACGTCACAGAGGCTTTTTCTCACCATCATGAAGTAGAACTCACAGTCAGCTGTGCACATGGTTTCAAACTCAAAAGTGATGCGACCAAATTCTGTCAGCGACTGGCTTGACACTGACGTGGGGAGTCTGTCGGAGGAGGCAAACAGAGAAAAGTGGAACCCGTCTCAGTGGAAAACAGCAGATAGCTCAGTGGTGAGACTGAAACACAACGTGAGTACTTACTTGAAGCCAGGAACATGGATGTTGAGGATGAGGTAATCATTGTCAGAACTTCCTGCTCCGCTGTGAATGTGATCACGAGCTACCTCCCAGCCTGAAGAGCAGAGCAGCAGTTTGAGAAGTAAATACTCGTACGATTGTTGCAACGAAACAGTTAATTCTCAAACTATTAAGAAGAATCTTGTTTTAAGACGGGCACAAATCAAAACCTATAAAAGGCCATTTCTGTAACACATGACACATAATTTTTACGCGTGGTTGTAAAAGTGTATTTATGAGTGATGTCAGCAGTAATGATGATTGCGCATAATCATTAAGGGCAAGCTGCAGCAGTAATCACTGTTAAATGACTTTAGCTGGGCTATGAAAGTATTGCAAAGTTGGATTTATTTTTCACAAAGTTGCATTAAAAATCTGGAGGGAAAAAAATTTTTGTTTTTTGCACGTTTATAAAAATAATCTGTGAATGTAAGTCTCTTAAAACTAAATCCAAATAATTCCTGAGTTTTTACCACCCACCCTTCATTCTGTCACATTTGGAGTTGCCCACATTGAAACAGGAGGTCTTCATGTTTGAAGGAAGAACATTCCACCATTTATACTCATAACCCAGGATAGGCTCAGTTCCTGCTGGACACCGCTCACAAGCTGGAAAACAAAGAGTATTTAAAAAAATAAACATTTTATGTTACAAATACAAGAAAAACTGGAGTAAAGTTAACTAAATATTTATGGTTTAGTACGTTTTATCCCATCAGAGTAGGTCTCAGGTGGGCAGGGGGAGCATGTAGGCGTGTCGTTATAAAAGCCAGGGTTACACTGGGGGCACGGCTCACGTTCACCGCTCTGAGGTAACGTTTCAGCTCCAGGGACACCCTCGAGACAGATCTTGGGCTCAATCCACTTATGCATGATCTGCGTCTGAAATTACACAACGATAGAGATGATAAATAATGCCTGCATAAGGAGTTTGTTCAGCATGTTTGAACGGTGGATTCTTTTCTCTCACCTTTCCGTCAGGGTCACATGGTGTGTGGATTTGGAAATAGTCTTTTTTGGAACATGGAGGCCGCTCCTTACACGCAGCCGATCCCTCTTCTGGAAAACGCAATTTTGTAAACATACAAGGCAAAAGTTAGTTATTTATATTTAAATCACCAATCTGACTTACAATTGTAAGATTTACCCAAAACATATTGAAGTAATTAAATACGACTGAAATTAGGAAATGTATGCATTTGTTTAATAAAAATTGAAATCCAAATATAACAGAGGACAATGAAAATGTAAATTGTTTTTTAATTTAACATTTTCATATATAAAGATGTGTGGATTAATATTTAATTTGTCTAAAAGGGTATTCTACATCACAAACACCAAAGTAAAATTAAATTATATCTAAAGGTCACATTAATCAGTACAATAAATCTACAGAACATTCACTGCCTTTTGCTACTTGTTCCACTTAAATCTGATCATGTAGGTAAAATGATTGACGTGTGGAAAAATTTTTTAATATTTTAAAATTTACCAAAATAAAAGCTCAATACCTTGGAATACCTTTCTCCTCATAAAAAGCACATAAAAAATAAAATAGAAATAATATAGGAGCTTCATAAAAAGGTCTGCAAACTTTTGTGATCACACCTCATCTTAAAATAACAAGAACGTTTCATGATTTTTTATCCCTTCTGTCTGTGTTCAGTGCAACAAAAAATAAATTAGAGAACACTAAATAAATATATGCAGCTTCTTGGTGACATTTTGCATTGATTTAACAAAGCTAAATCATACCTGCATACTGAGTGGCGATGTTGCAGGGAGTGCATGAACTGGCTCCATGATCAGAGAAGGTGTCCCGAGGACACGGTTCACACGTGGACGAGCCGGGGACTCGACTAAACGTCCCGGGTTTACAAGGAAAACACTCTGACGTGTAGGCAACACCTGATGAGGAGATAAAAGGTAAGTAGATGTTCTAAATTATCATTATTAGTTTTCCCACACAAAAAAAAGAATAAATAATAATTCAACTCGCTGACCTTCAATTTGAATGTTTTTTAGCAGAACTGGTTTCACCATTTTAGTTCCCAGGACACTTCCAGTCCTCCAGTACAAAATGTTGGTGCCAGACTTCAAGTTCACCTAAAATACACACTTTTAATTACTTCACTGGTTTGGCTTCATCTCTGCAGCTGGCAACAGGAAACATTACGGGTGTCCTTAATGATGCTTTGATTTATGAAACAGTGCCATCAGGAAAACGAAATGCATAAAATCCACTCAAGCGCTGAATATTTAGTGCAAATAGTATTTTAAATTCAGTACTTGATGGTGTTCAATTGTGAGGCCTAATCAGCTAAAATGTCTATTTTAATCAAGGGCGTCAGTTTGTTGTCAGAATTGCTGGGGACAATAACCATACACTTGAGTGGGGTTTAAAAATTGCTGGGGACAATATAGGCTAGCACAGGGGTCGGCGGCTCTGGAGCCGCATGCGGCTCTTCCATCCATCTGATGCGGCTCTCTGTGCTTGTGAAATAATGAATGGATATTTAAATAAAAAGCTTTATATTTTACTGCATTAATTTTACATCTGTAAGCTAATTCTAAATGTAAAGATTGTCTGCGTAAACCTGAACAGGTCCAACCCGGTCTTACTGTGAGACCGGGTTGACGCGTCACGCATGTGCGTAATCATAAGCGCTTCTGAGCTGCTTTCTGACCTTCCCCACCTACAAAGTTTAATTACAACAATCAAACGTGACAGAGCCTGGATTTGTATTCTGAACAGTCTAAACATGTTTTAAAAAGAAACGTAGGACAAAAGTGGCACCTGCTCAGTAAAACCACCAACAGGATGAAAAATACCAAAAATTGAAGGCCGAGACGGGCTACAACTTCTGGAACCACTTTATGTAAATCGTTTTATTGATTATCGTCTAATGAAAGATAATTAAGACGTACATGAGCGACCAGGCGCGTTGCAAGCTTTTCAAAAGTGTGGGGGATGTTGTCTGTGCCTAAAATAATTTCATGTTATTCATCTTGTTAGTTTAATTTCCGTAATAGCGGAGCAGGTGCGAATTTTAGACGCGTCACGCATGTCTCCGTTTTAAACATGTTTAAACTGTTCAGAATACAAATCCAGGCTCTGTCTCGTTAGATTGGTGTAACTAAAGTTTGTACTGAATGAAACTTTACATTAAACCATGTTGAAAAGAAAAGGATCCGATTAAATAGTTTCCCCCTCATTTACAGTCAGTACAGTGCAGTGCGCACGGCTCTGGGGTTAATCAAGTTTAATTGTAACATTAATGTGTTACTGGACACGCTGGTCTGGTTGGTTAGACCAGTGTTTGAAGTGGAAAACACACACACACACACACACACACACACACACACACACACACACACACACACACACACACACACACACACACACACACACACACACACACACACACACACACCAATTAAAATAATGCTGATAGCGTGGACTAGAAGACAGGTGATGATTTACGTATTTAAATGATGATCAGGCTGCTGTAAAATGTAATCTCCATCCACATCCAGACACAATCATCCTCTATTCTTTCTCTATTTGCTCTGCTTTTGTCTGGGCTGATCAGCTGACGGTGCGCGCGGCACGCCTAACTAGCGGCTGATGCACATTTTACACATTTGGAGAGGTGGACTGGATGCTTTGCGATTACTGGAAGATGGTCCACTTAACGCACGGTTGTAGACTAAATATTAATGACAAATGAATGAAAATTAAATTGTGAGTTTTTACTTCATATTTTAGAAATAAAAATGACGGGGGAAAACATTTATGATGTCTTTTTAAACTAAATTTTCTAGCGCGACCTGCCTGCTTCACTTAAGTCACTGCTTATTAAGGTCCGTCCATAATTACCGTGGCCCATCCAAAAATGAAAACCTGGCGCTGCGCCTGTTATAAACCTCTGCAAATTGTTGTTCTTCACTTTATCAAACTCAGACTTTGTACAGCTAATGTCAAGATGTGAAATTATGAATTCAGTCGAGCTCTTCCGTCCCTCCCTCTCCTGCTCTCCTGGAAACCCGACATCGGCTGGGAGGTGAAGAAGGAGATGAGGCAAACAGAGTGAGTGCGACGTAAAGAAACCAGACTGGTGTGGAGGTGAGCAAAACAGCTGGAAAAGTGTGGGTGTTGAATCCCCCACGGGTGCGATGCCCCCGGCTGCTGTCACCTGTTGTGAGCAGCGCTCTGCTGTCTGAGGGTAGGCCCCGCCCGCAACGCTGCGGCTGCTGCGGTGTTTTCTTTACCGTGGGAAACGGGTAATAATGGCTCTTTGATGGGAACAGGTTACCGACCCCTGGTATAAGATCTGAGCTGGTAAAACAAAAATCCTCATCAGCAGGCTTTTTTGAAAGTGGGGGGGACACAGCTGCCAATCACGAATTTTGCCGGGGACATGTCCCCGGCGTCCCCGGTTAAAATGACGCCTATGATTTTAATTCATGCATAAAACATTTTAAATGCTATGCTGCTGTTCTAAATCATGTTAGAAACTGATTTATCAACCGTTTCAATTTAATCTTTAAAAAAAAATGGCCAAAAACATTCAACGCTCATTCATCGATATGACGTAAAACAGCCTCATCAACTCATGAATGCTCACATACTCCACTTAAACGCGTCACTGATTCATTTTTCTTATTTTTTTGTTTCTCTAAGAGTAGAAACTAATCAGCCTAAATGAAGAAACTGGTTTTCTGTCTGGAAAATTACTGGAAACAGCTTTTTGTGATTTCAGTACACTCCTGAGGACTACCAGGCTTCCTGCCTACATCCACCCACGGTTTGCAGTTAAACACTTATTTTGGAAGACCAAAGCAGGCTGCCAAAGATCTGTCCTTTCTGCCAACTATCCATCATACAGTATGAAACATTTACCGTGTGGGTTGCCCACTCTCCGTGATGAGTGAGCTTGAGCCACTTGTTTTCAGCAGACTGATCCATCTCCTGACACTGGTCATTCTGGATCTAAATATACAAAACTATGAGGTCTTTCAACTCTGCACAGAATTTTGGACATTGAAGCAGCTTTCTAAGTACAACACACACGTTTATAGAAAGAGAATTACTGTGAAACTCACAAAGAACTCAAACTCCAGATTGTTGTCAGGATACTGATAATCAAAGCTGACATAGCCCTGTTTCTTCAAATGGACAGCATAAATGAGCGAGACCGTGCACTCATCCCTGTTGGACTCCAGATAGTTCCCTTGGGGCAACCAGGCAGAACTGTGAGAAAAGAAAAAAATCTCATTATACATAACGACTTCACACAACATACCACCAGATTCCTTTTTCTTTCTCAGCTACCTGTTGCAGGTGACATCTCTGTGGGGATCGTTCTCCATAGAGGTCGCCATGCTACTGAACCCAACAGGCATGCTATCCCATTGGTCGAAGCGGATTCCGCTGCCAAGGGAGTAGCTCCCAGCTGCGCACTGGGTGCACTGCTGGGCAGACATCTCCAGGAACTCCCCGGCTTTGCATGAGAAGGCTGCGAGAAACAAATGGAGGTAAGAAAAGAGAGAAAGAACAATACACTGACTCAGTAATTTTCTGCTGAGTTTTTAGAGAATGAGACAGACTAAAGCTGACACACAAACAGTCAAATCACTTCTGCTTTGGGTGCAGTGCACCCCAGTGATAACGGGGCCTAATCCTTACATCCTGTTACACACTCTGTCTCTCCCTGTGCTTTTCCTACCCAGATGGCATGCCAGTGTATTTCGCGATGCTTGACAGTGTCAGCTTTTCCTCATACCTGAACTGGCTTACTGCCACAACAACGCACCGCTCAGCCTCAAGGAAGTCCATGACTTCAAAATTATTTGAGCAGAAAAAGCATCCAGAAAATCAGACTGATCAATAGTACTTGTAAATAATCTGTTTTGAAATAGTTGGCTTTTCCTGTAAACATGTGCATGGATAATTAAGCTAACACTATCAAATTTTATTATTATAATACAAATATAGTTGTGATTTACAAAGCAATAGGATGTTTGTTAGTGATAAGAGAGCACGGTTTGGGTGTTTTCTTTTTTTACATAATGAATGTTCCAGCAGGAAGACGGAAGTAAGAAATTAAAAGAGAAACAATAGTTAATTAGCCTAGTGAACTAGACCAAATTCTTGCTTAGCAAAGTTTGGTCTAGGAACGCTCCACTGGAACCTCAACAGCCCCTAACAGCATTCTGGCTGGCCAATCACAGCTCTCTAGAGGGGTTTCAAACACATAAAGAGCTGTGATTGGTCCATAATGGTGAGCCAATCATAGTGCTCTATCTGCTTAGTGAACAAATTACAGAGCTTTATCTGCTTTGTGGGCCAATCAGGGCACTCTATATGCCTGGTGGGTGGGATGATGCAACAGAGTGAAACAAGATGGCGACAGCTCGTTTGAAACTGCTTTTACTTCAGTTTTGGACTATTAGAACTTGGGCTTCATTAGAATCAGGAGAAGATAGATGTATTTAAGAGCTTTTTTTAGAAAAAATTATGTGTTTTCTCCTTCTTCAACTGCGGACCGCCTCATTTACCCATAGCTGTTGCGGTGAGTATGTCACATTCATTGTCCAGTAGCATGCGGAGATCATTTGAAAGACAACGGTGGAACCCGCCCCGCAACCGAGCGTTGCCAGACTTAATAATACATTTATTTAGTCTGGCTTGCCAGGCTAATGGTTAATGACAACAATGCCCCAAAAGCAAGATTTGCCTTTATACAGGTTTGGAAACAAACCATGTCAACATACACACTCAGTGTCCAAGAAACTCTTCACACATGCATTCTTTTCTATTTAGTTCACTTTGCACTAATGCAAAACATCCAGATTAGAAAGCTCCTGCAGTCGTTATAAAAGAAAGTGTTGTCATTTGTGAAGTAGAGCAGGAGCACTGGGTAAACTGGCTACAAATGAATCCAGCAAAAACATCTGTAACTTGTTTTCCCACTTTGCACGACCTCAGCATTCTATAAGTATGGGCTTTATAGTGACAATGTGATAAGGAACCTTTCAGACTTCACTGAGGGAACTAAAAGGAATAAACGCATTTAGCACATCTGTTTTATATTGTGTCTGCAAGATCTGCTAATTCCCTGACCTCAAAGTAGACCTAAACAAATGATGCTAAGTGATAGCTCAAATGTGTCCAAAATATTGCTCTGTGGTTCTTTCACACCCGCACAATGCAGTTTTTTTCCAACTTACTGCATTCTGTGCCGTGCACTGGCTCTGGTAGACCACTACAAGTCCCGGGTGTTTGTGGGATGGCCACTCTCCATCGTGATCCTGTGCTGTCGCACTCCGTGTACTCATAGTAGTAGTCTGTCTGCCAGAAACACACATCTGCATAAGAAATCATGCATGGTGCCAAACAAGGAGCCAACATAGACCAGTGGCAGGTCTGTAAACACGTCATGATGAGAGGGGGGGGTCTCCACCCAGAAGGATGAGTCATCTGGGTCTGAATGTTTGGCTGATCAGAGCAGACAAAACCCCAACACTGATTGCACTTTCCATATCCACTTACTCAGGCTGGAAAACACGAGTGCCTGCTCTGGTGTTATCTCTCAACCTCTGACCACTCTTTAGACCCTGGACACATAACATACCATCTCCATGGAGATGGCAGCAGGAACAATGGAGGCTGTGGACAGCCGATTAAACCTGGAGAGTCATTTTTACATGGCAGCTTTTAACATTTTTGCTGAAATACAGACATTTGATTGTTGAATGTGCTAGCTCGTGCATAAGAAGTAAATGTTTATGACATCATCGGGTTTCACACTTGCTTTCTGTTTAGCTTTGTAATTCTATGAGACAAGGCAGATTTTGACACACAAGCGGATGTAGACTGCTGTAGAGGGTCTGGTAATGAGAGTCAAATCACAGAAATGATAAAGGACAAATATTTGGCATAATAAACAACGGGGGGGAGCTTTTTAAAGCTGGTGCAGCACAGATTTAGGACAAGTGGAGTAAACCAAGCACAGGACTGTATTTTGGTCAATGACTGACGAGGTAGGATGATGTCCTAAATTGTCATCTCCCAAAAATATAACATAGGCCTGAAAAGACTAAAACTGAGCCAACAATTCAAGGGAATGTTGTCCCTCTGTCCCAGGCCAGTGTGTGCTGCCAGCCTCTTGTGATGAGGTGTTGAGCAGAGCCAGAACCTTGGGAAGGAAGGGTCAGTCCATGCAGGAAGCTGATAACAGCCAGAACAGCTCTGAGTGAACTTCAACAAACACCAGACCTCATCACAGATTCATGCCTTCCTTAATGAGCAAATTCCTTTCTAGAGCTATTATAATATTAAAGGATAGAGCTGGTTAAAAATGCAACAGAGCCACTTTGAACCAGCACCAGAATTACATCAAACCGGAAACGTGTCATCATTTTATAATCGTATTTATGCTCGCTACTGGATTACCGACTCCTGTCAGTGTGTGTTGTCACAACAGCTAGTCAGTAGCTTTTTGTATCAGTGCAAACGTCAGAGACGGGCATTTCTCCTCACCTCGGAGCACTGCTGCTGCTGCTGTCCTTTGACTCGGTCAATCATCTGGAGCGTGGAGAGGATGATGAGAGCGCATCGGGAGAAGAAACAAGCCGAGGACAGCATTGTGGATCATCTAGCGAAGCCGAGAACATATAAAAACCCTGAATTCTATCTAATAAAATAATCTAAGGGATGAATTTGGGTTAAATGAACGTTCTTGAGTGGCCAAAACTCGAAACCTTCTTCTGTCGATGGCGGATGGTTAACCGGCCTCTCCACCTGCGATTATCATCAGATTGTAAACGCTCCGGGGTCTGGCGCTCAGTATAATAAAGTTATTATAGTGAAAGAGTGCTTCCGTTTTAGATTTCAGAATAAAAGTCATCGAATGTGTATAGAAATTATTTATTTATGAGGATTAACTAAGGTAATGTTATCAAGCCTTTTTAAATAACGTTATTTCAAACTGTTTCATTATTTTTGGATGTTAAAAAAATCCCTGGAATTACTAGGACTTGGACTTTACTGTGAAAGTGACGTGATCGCATATCTGGTTTCCGGTAACGGTTGTTGAACTTGATTTTGCTGTGAGCGCTTTAAATCTGCGTTTCAAGTACTTTACCGTCACAATCGTTCTTGTCTTTATTTAATAAAACATTGAGTCCAAATGAACACTGCACCATATGATAAATGTTCCTCTGTCTTTTGTCCTTTTCTTAGAATAAACATGCGTCTCAAACTGGTGTAAAATAACCAAATAACCGACAGGGAGAGCTAAAACTCCTAAACAGAACACCAACCATGTATAAAGGGGTGATGCTGTTTCAAATATTTATTATTATTATTATTATTATTATTATTATTATTATTATTATTATTATTATTATTATTGTTGTTGTTGTTGTTGTTGTTGTTGTTGCTGTTGCTGTTATTATTATTGTTGAATAGTTACTCAAAAATAAAGATACTTATTTTTTTAAAAGTAAGTGTTTTACATTATTAGTTTGAATTTAGTTAAAAGGCATTTTGCAGAGCTAGACTTAAAAAAACAGTTTAATACAGTCAGTTGTTTTCAATAGTGTTAGACTACCGCTTGAAACTCCCTTCAAATTTAAGGAATCCCTCAGCTGATGCAGAGTTGATGAACTTTTCACGGACAAGTAAGTTTCTAAAATATAAATATGTGAGAACACAACATGATATGAGAATAATACTCGTAAAACAATGTGTTTTACCTCTGTTTGTTGGCTACAAATGCACATTTATAAACAAACATTAAGTCGCCATCTTAAACAGAGCGACAGAGTTTTTCTGTGATGTGCATGTTAGCCACTAGATGGTGCTATCGGATAGGAGAAATACTCCTGACAGTAGCTTTAATTTTCAAAAATAGGTTGAAAAATACATCACTACAATGGTGCTGCTTCAAAATAATGTAAACTACCAAGCATTTACATCTAAATTATCCTTTATTCATCACATCTTGTGTTGATCACCAAAAATATTCATGAAAACAATCGTTTAAAGTTTAAACTCTTTACGTTTATGGGGAAGATCTTGTTGAGAGTCTTCCTTGGTAATGTAACGTGATGAAGGTTCTCTAATTTGTGGCAATGGTCACATTTACCCAGCTGGGTCAAACAGTACTTTTAAATCCACAGATGAACCCAAGGAGCCGTGCTGTCTGAAAGATCACATCCATATCCGCTCAAGATCATATCACCTATCTGCTGCTGTTCCATCCCAGGAAGAGGGCACTTCAAGTCACGATGATAATAATTAGATAATAATTAATAAAACTCATTGATTTTATTACTGTTTAACATTATCTCATAAATGATCATTTGGTTCAGTATAAAGGTATTTTGATTACATGAAATGAATTTATGCATTGGGTATAATAATGATTAATTATAATAATGATTATGATGACAGTAAAAGATGTGTTCAGCATATCAGAAGGTCGAGTTCACCCTTATCCAGCTAACACAGAGTCCAGATAAACATAACTTCACATATGTTTTTGACGTACAATCAAAGCTTTCTGCCTGAGAGAGTAGGAGTGTCCTGGAGCTTGGTAAAACTATCCATCCCCAGCTTCAGAACAAGTTCTTGAACCAACACCACGGAGAAAGGGAAACGGCCATCCCTGAATCTCCACCTGCTGTTCAGTCACGCCGACTAGAATAGCCAAAGAATAAACGAACTGTAACAAGCTATTGAAGACTCTCCCAGTCATTGATTTCTGAGTTAAGTTAAAAGACGAAAAACTCCTTCAGAGTTTCGGATCTTGAGACGCAAATCGTTCCACCAGTCGAGTGACCCAAGGAGACATCTCAGGACTGATCTGGTCACATAGAGGTTCTTCTACCAACCTCGTGCCTGGAGAAAACCATCTCCACCTGGACACTTCGGATCCGAAGTAGGGTCTTCTACATGGGTGAGGTAGACTTCGACAGATTGTGTCTGATGCTGTTTCTCTCTAAATAACTCAGTTAGCCTCAAAACATCATCTCCATCCAGACCGCTTCCAACTCTCTGGGAAAGAAACCTTCTCATAACTTCATCCACGCATCCAAACTCGTATTTTGAATTTAGCTTCCATTCAGGCACAGGTTTGCTTTCAAAACAAGTTTAATATCAAAGCTGTTGAAAATTGTCATTAAAATTGCCATCCATGAATTGTCATTTTATAATTGTCTTTTCAAATCTCTAAGTTTAAAATTGTTAGTAATAAAATTTCTTCATTTTTAAACTTGCCTCATTATTGAAACAAAACACAGAAAAGGTATAATATTTCTGGTTATTTGAAAGCAAAGGTCCTAGATTCTGATTTAAAATAACTTTGCTATTGAATTCAATTATCTAAATTAAACATTAATCTTTGGATTTAATATGAGAACAAACAGGTTGATGTATGAACTCAGAGCGATATATAAGTATCTGGGATATTTACTGTATATATGATCTAAGCCTCATGGGTTAATCTGATTGGTCATTTTTCGGAATCTCCACTGAACAGCACAGAGGTGATTTCAGCATCTCTACAGTAACCAAAGTCTATTATTATGATAAATAATTCAGGAAAATGTAAGTTTTATTCATGTATTTGAAGAAACCCATTCTATAAAAATGAAAAACATCTGGCTAACAATAATTGTATTATTGAGTTTGAGATGTCCCCACATCAATTTTGATGCATCTGTTCTTTAAAATTAAATTTGGTGCATGGTATAGTAAACCTGCAAGTTAGGGAAAACTGTCAGAACGTCCTCTCTGTCAAGGGTGGCCATCTGTGGAACAGTCTTCCTCAACCCATTAGAGAATGCTCGACTTTCAATTTGTTTAAGGCAAAGGTTAAAAACTGGTTATGGACACATCAAGTGTGTGATCATGTATGAGTTGTATAGTTTTAATGTTTTATTTGTGAATAGAATGGTGTGTATGTGTAAGTTTGGTGATGGAGTTTTTGTTATGAATGAATGATGAATTTTTATGAATTATTATGTATTTTTATGTCTAAGGACAACTGATGGAAATTGGCCTTTGGCTATAATCTGGCATGTTTACATTCATGTAAGCTGCTTTTACATTTATGTTCATTACCATGCATTGTCCTAAATAAATAAATAAATAAATGACTTCATAATTTTGATATTTGCCAGAAAGACAGGGAAATATTAAGTTTCCAGGGTTGTTATTAAACATATTTGTTTAAACAGGAGATGTTTTATTTTAAGGTCCTATGACCCTTTATATTATATAGTATTTCTAAGTGCAAACCTTTTGGTAACATGCTTGATCCTGTTAATGCATTGCATCTATGAATATTCACATTCAATTTCAAACTTTCTATTGCCAATAAAGAATTAATGGTGTATTGAATCCTTGTGACAAAACATTTTTAGCACTGCAAGAGTTGATTTGTACATACTGGACAAAATGTGTGTTTTCAAACATCTTTTTAAACTTATGAAGTCTAAGCCTTCATCCAAACTGTAGGTGCTGATGTGATCTAAAGTGCATAAAAACCCATTTGGCCAGGCTCGATAAAGAATTGATGCTGTGCCTTTATGTGAATTTTTAAGTAGCTGTCACCCAAATGCAGCTGCGTCTCTCCTGTCTCCCTGTTTCTGTGAGGAGTGATGCCAGTCTGTCTATCTGCCTGCATCATCCATCCATCCATCCCTGTCTCTCAGTCCTCCTTTCTCTTTATCATCTCAGGCCTATCACTTACAGCATTCGACTGTAACTCAAGCTCTCATAATCAACCAGCCATAACACTCCTGCAACCTTTACACCCGGACCGCTGCTTCGTGATCAGATGAGTTGGTTAATAAATGCCGGTGGAGTGCGGGGCAAGTTTATTAGTAACTGACCCTGAATCAGACTGTAACCAGAATCCAGCTTTAGCTGTGGGGCACAAACCCCACAGCTTCCAAACCTACAAAGGACAGGGGGACTACCTGGCAAGGTAATGAGACACCCAGCAGCTAGCACATAAAAAGCCAGAGGATAGCTGCAGGTCAGCAGGGCAATGAAGACAGGGGGATGTTGAAGAGAAGAGGAAAGAGAAACCTTGGTGCTGATGAAAATTGTTTGGGACACTTGACAGCAGTTTGGCTTGGGATTTTTTTTTACACTTCTGATCTTCAAAGGTACATCTGGATTATAACTTATTTGATTTTTCTTTCTGCTGGGGAATATCGGCGTCTGTGACATAATCGGATCAGGATATTTGCTGCCATGGCTGTACGTACCTATTTATTAGGTTTACAAGCTCACTACTCACTACTCTCATAAAACTTCTAATCCAAATGAATGTCAGTGCAGGCAGGTTATGCCATATTGTCTTTCATGATCGTTTCTCATCCTGTAAGAATGCATGGACTGCCCTGCTCATCTCTGGGTCACTGCTTTGGTAACCCATCTGACAGTGATTCAGCACCTTCTGTGGTATCAAACAACTCCATGATCAACCGAAACAACAATGGACTTCCAGCAGCAGATCCAGTTAGATCACAGCCAGAGAAATCATCAGGCAGCTCAGACAAACAGCAGCACAAACAGCTTGAGAGGACCTTCAGCTGTGTCCCCTCTACTTCCTCAAGAAGCAAAAATCTAAACGCCAATCTTTCATGCTCGGAGCCTCCTGCGTCCAGTAGTGACGTCTCTGGGAGCTCAGATGAAGAACTGGAGTTGGAGTGTGGTCCAGAGCTGGAACAGAAATGTTCCCAGATCCCCAGACCCTCAGTAATAATCAAACCAAAGGTAAGAATAATCTCTTTTTGATCGATTTTGGTTTTGAAAAGCTATTTTAAGGTAAATCTATCAT